TATATAATATATATATAATTTCGCGTGCATAATATATATTTCACTATTCATCTCTCCGCGAATAATTATAATTATACATTCTTCTCTCACACATTTTTTTCAATAAATAAATTATCCAAATTAAGGACATCAATATCAATAACAGTAATATGATTACAACCACATTTACAATATATTTATATTTATCTCTCTCTCTATATATATTTATTTATGTATATATATATTTTTTTCTTTTTATTTAACTCTAACAAACTCTTCTGTGTGCGCGGTACGATAGAGACCATCTTTAAACGCCGCGTGATACAAAAAGACCAAGTTCATAATGCCTTGGTTTATACAGTGATTTATAATATATTATTATTGATCTACATTCTTACACTATGCATATAATTATGCTTAAAAGGTAATAGTTAGTGGCGCGCAGCTATTTTGCCTTTCTTTCAAAATTTTAGCACTTGGCATTTTTATCACGAAAAAATATAACAAAACAATTAATTTTAATTTTATGGTTAAAAAAATGAATATTATAATCTAAATTACTCAAATGTAATCGAAGATTTCGAATATGATTATGACTTATATTAACAAAAAAAGCGATCTTTTATGGCAAATATTCAGATAAATAAGAAATATTTTAATATATATGTATATATATATATATATATATATATATATATATATATGTATATCAACATACTGATTGTAGAACACAAAGCCATACTAAAATCTATAATTCAGGCTAGGCTACGCGCACCGCAGTAGATAAATCCGTGCGAGATCCAAGAGAGAATTACTGGCCCCCATTGATACATTAATCGGATAAAATCATACTATTCTAATCCATCGATCGTCTATGGACGATTATCAGATGGTGAACTTTACATGCTATGTACAATAATTATTGTTCTAAATTATTATCTTAATATCTAGTAGTTCCGTTCACGTGAATATTCGAACCTACAAATTGCAACAAAGTTCATGTCGCATAACTTGTTTAAAGAAACTGTTATGCTCGTATTTCGCTTTTAGAGTACTTTCAGTAAAAATAAAAATAAAAAATATTTTTTTTTCGATCGCCCATCGAGACATGTACTGCGGCATTTTATCTTAATATTATATCTTGACGAAAAAAGTTAGAAGAAAACACTCGAAAATAAATTATTGAAGATATAGAACAAAATATGCTTGTGCTAATTGAAAAAATTACATTCTAAAAAAATGATAATTTTGTTGACATGAATCAATGAAATAGACGCTGAAGGTTAATGTAATAGAGATGAAATTCTTTTTTCGAATTACGAATCATTTCGATTCACCAAACATCTTGTACTTTATTTCATGTATATATTGAATTTTAATATCCGCATATATGTATGTGAAATTCAATATATGAAAACACCATGTTACCATGAGCACCATGAGCATATATCTTGAAAGAAAAAAGAAAGAGAGCAATTAAAATGTATTAAATTTAAGAGACAATAAAAGCCATCCTAAAAAGATGTATATACTTATTGTAAATTGAATTGAACTGGCATGCTCTTATCATGCATTTAGATTCAACAAAATCGTAATCCTACTTGGATATAAGTCAAAAGACAAAATTTCAAAATTAATAAAATAATAACTTATTTCTTTCTGAATTAACATGCTTATAATTATTGAAAATCTCATCTAGACTTTTAAAATAAAACTAAATTTTTTTTCAGCTGATCACACATAGCTTTCCAAAAGAATGTGTGAAATGATATTTCATGTGGATAGTATGTAATTTTCTGCATTATTGTGTGTATATGTATGTGAAATATTTTATTTTTTTACAGTTTTATTTTTTAATCTTTCACATCAATTCTTCCAAAACAAACTTAAATTTCGTCGGGACTTGAATAATCGAGCTCGATAGCATTCAAGATTACAAAAACATGTGAAGAGATATTGTCAATGCAACGTGTCAGTGCTTTTCTTTGAAGTTATTAATAAAGTCGTAATCGAGAAGAGACCCCTTATCACATGTGTCGTATGTGCAAATACTTGATTTTCTACGTCATTCTTCTTTAATCGGGCCTAACAAGATATGCCAAATATGTATAAATGATTCACATTTGAAAATCGACAACTCGATAGTAGTGATTACGACTGTATAATCCCGATTAGTCGACTGTCAGCTGACATCCATTAAGGCACTTGAAATGCTAATCTCCTTGGGCGAAGCCCTTTGAAGAAAGTTAGAGCTCGTTTATCTACTTTCTTATCCATTCACGGTTCGCCTTCTATGGGGAATTGAATAGTCATGCATTAACATAGAAAATAAGCGCTAATATATATGTATATATATATATATATATATATATATATATATATATATAGAGAGAGAGAGAGAGAGAGAGAGAGAGAGAGAGAGAAGAAGGAAAAGAGAGAAAAAGGGGAAACATTTTTTAAATACGCGTAAAGCATTAGACTTTCTTGAAGCTCCACATACTCTTAGATAGGGATCACGTACTCTTAGATTAGGAACGTGTGTGCTCGGGGAATGTAAATTCGCGTAGTCGGTTCTTTTTTCTTTCCGGGATATCAAAATCTCTAACGACAAACGACTCTTCTGCGGCACTAATAAAATTTCCGCGTAATGAACTTCATCTCGTGCTAATAGCAACAGGAATGTTTTATTTTCCCATAAAAAGGACGGCAATTAACGTACACAGTAGCTAACTGCTCTCGTGTACTTTACGCGTTTTAAAACTTATATAAGCAAGAATAATCGACGTCACGTATCATATGCGAATATAAAAACATTTTTCTAGTCGAAATGCGAAAAACGTGAGCGAAAGAGCAAATATAACGTGAAAACGATACATGCATTTCAAACAAATTATTTATCTATAATGCCGAAAATATATAAGTAATTTTAATACAACTATATCTTTTAATATTTATATTGATGAAAGCACTCCAAATCTTGAAAGACATCACGAAAAGTCGAGAAAAAAATATTCAATAGTCAAAATAACAAAAAAAAACTCAATGAAATTGTCATTATCATAAATTCATTAACATTAGTATATTTCCGACATGTGCATATATACTCTAGATAGGAATAAATTTAGCTTATCATAGGAGGAATTGAATTGAATATATATTATATATAAATATCATATAAATATAATTCACGTATAATACGATCATAAAATTGATAATGAGTTAGATAACTTTAACATTGAGCAGTAATCTCTCTTGACAAAAGATTACAAAGATTGAAGCCTCAATTGTGCAAATTCTTGATAATTTAATTTGAAACATCCAGTGTTTTTAATTAACACTTTAATTAACATTTTCGAATATTACAAAAGCGATTCTCAAATTAGAATTTCGTAAATACGATTAGTCACATGACAATCTGAAATCGAGATAAAAAGTGACAGACAATGTGACGACATATTCCGGCACAAATATATGGACAAAAATGATGAAAGATAGTGTCATGTCATAATACATTTTCACCATCTATATGATGTGAAAGTAATTCATTGTAAAAACGTGATCAATTCTGCCCATAAAGATTCTATTGTAGCCTTCATTGCTTCTTTGCTCATCTAATATATGTATAAGTTATGTAATATGTAGAGATCCTTATTTATTATTTATCCGTCACAGAATCGATAATTGATTTACAGGATATGTTGAAGAATATGTCAAATGATAATCTCAAGATTTTAATAGATAATATTTACAAAAATGTGTAAGAATACAAGTTGAAAGTCAAATAATTATATCATAAATTGTGAAAGTTGTGAAGAGGGAACAAGATGTTCGATTATATCGAACGATCAGAATCAACCGTATCGAGATTTAAAAAATCAAAATTAAAAAAATTATCTACACTTTTTGCCAGAAATACAAGATGTATTAATAGGCCAAACATCACGATGTTATATGTAATCATTATTTATAATAAATATTTGTAATCATTATTTATTATAAAATTCCATTTTGAAAGTTCTATATCGTTACGATTAACGCACCTTAATCGTCCAATATTTTAATTTTTCTGGAATTATGTTTCTAATAATTTGAAATTTTGCATAAAATTTAATTGAATTTCGTATAAGCTGACATGTGACGTTCGATTTGTAATTTTTGCAAGGGAGATATTATAAAGCGCGCTGAATTGGTCCTCTGGGCGAGGATTTTTGAAGGATCGGATTATGAAAGGTATACAAGCACGAAAATTCGCGTGACTTAAGGCACTAACAGTATACTTAAGGCCTAACGCAGTGTCCTCTTCCTTAACATTAGAAGGCACTATTTCCTATCAGAATACAACACATAACAAATGTTAATTTATCGACCCTCGCATTAATCTTACGCACGAAGTTTCTTCTTTTTAATGATAATAAACTGGCTCTCTAGTATATACTGGCATCTCGTGTTTCCATCGTTTTAACTGGCTTCAGATGTCCAAGCTTTAATTGCATTATGCAGCGATTTGAAGAAACAGATTAATGCTATGCCATCTATGCAGATCGCGTTTCGCAAAGTTTCTAGAAATTATGTACACGATGTATATATTATACATCAAATGAGCGCATTGAGATTTTTGTGTCCCTTGCAGCATTTACGTGATTGTTTAATATGTAGAATCAGCGACCTCGGTATCTAAAATGTCTGATATTAAATTTCCTATTTTTTTCCTTTTCAATATTGCATTAATAAATCATATTTCATTTACAGAATATATGCATATATCTCATATTTCTTATATATGTATATTGTTATATGAAATGAACCATATAGATTTATTCTTGCATTGTGTGATAATTAACTAATTTTCGTTAATGACATATTGTACGATAATTTTAATTAACTAGTTCAATTAATCCCCTAGTAACATTCTGTTCTCTCTTATATACTTAAATATTTAATATATATGTATATTCAACTTTCAATTATCGTACGAATAAATTTTTATAGATTAATCAACATTAATTAAAATGATTAATCAACTATTATTTTTGGAATACGAGTCTAAATTATACACTTTTAGATTAACAATTCCGAAATCGTCAATTCGATGCATCACAAACATCCTGATGCGATTGTTATTTTGTAATCAGACGCAAAGAATGATGTCATAAATATACATGATAAAGTAGATCATTCTTGCAACAGATAACACAGAGCGTTTGAGCATATATTTGCTTTTTATAGGTACTCTGCGAATATTTATTGAGCTATTGAGTTTCCCATCAGGATGCCATCACGTAAAATGGGAAATAATATTTGTTGTTATCATTCATATGTCTATGTCTCAGGATCAAAAATCTCAAAGCGCGTTAGAAAAGAATAATTTACTCGATTATGCTTTTATTTTCATAAAGCACGAAGTAGTATTAATTAGATATTTCATGATTGCACCTTCTACTTTGGCACTTTACGCGGAATTAAAATTTGACGATTTACGTTTGGAAAAAGCTGTTTTTTTTGGCGACTAAAATGAAATTTAAAAAAAGCATTATATGTAATATATAATGCTATTATATATAATGATATTGCTTGTTACGCATTCATAATACTGGCTTTTGGGATGCCGACGTTCTATATCTCACTTCATTACTATATAATGAAAAGTTAATGATTGTCCGTCCCTAAACGCGAAATTCTTTGTGCATAATCGAAAAATTGCTCTATTAATGCTTTTACGTAATATCTACGATCACGATTGTAGTTTATTTAACTGAGCATGCTAAGTCCCAAGCTCCGTCACCGGAGTTCGATATATCATTTAGTTTATTCTAACCATTTACTTATCTTAATTAATTAATTAACTTTTTATATACTGGCTCTATTCGTCGTAATGTATACGATAAAATGGTGCTCTAGACTAGTTGAGCTGGCCTTATTTAAACATATATATATATATACATACGTATATATATATATAACAAACTGGAAAATAGAACAAATAAAAATTAGCTAGAAACACAGAAGAGAACAGATACACGCTTATATGTAATAACGATACGTCTTGTCGTGCCGAATCTATGACCTCGATCGCGATCTCAATCGCGCAAGCGGATCTTTCTTTCCTTAAAATCTTGAAGCATCCAAAAAATCAGTGACGCGCCTTTTTATAAAAGCTCGACAATTGTAAAACAATTACCTTACTCTTGCGTTCAACGCTCGTAATTCAGACATCGGCTCGATTTATTGTAGCTGCAATCGGAAAGATCCATCGAAAGATTCGCAAAAGACAGCATCAAGAGAACCAACTGATCAAAGTTGATCGGCATCGCGATTATTCAATTCGCGATTAAGCGTTAAACCTAATGAACGATTTGTTTGCTTCGTCAATCTATTTTCTCTTTTCCTAGTTGCTGCCCGTCCGATCGACCGGTCCGTCTTCGTGAGAAATTCGGGACGGGCCGGCTCGCGACGCGGCTCTTCAGGTCCCAAATGTAAGAAATATCATCGTCCGTCTCTCGCTCGCGTCCAGGATCACTCGAGATCACTGGCCTATTGCCAAGGACCGTTTCTCACCTTCGCTTCTCGTCGATCAACGTGCGCTTTCTCTCGCGTCGCACGACTCTGTGGACGGTCCTTTTCATCAGTGCCTCTTCATGTGAAGCGACAAATGGTCGCTTCGCGAGAACGATCGCTGACAGAGATGGCACTTGAACGGCTTTTGGCCCGTGTGCTTGCGATAGTGCCGCGTCAGCTCGTCCGATCGTGCGAATTTCCACGTGCAACCTTCCCACGTACACTGATATGGCTTCTCGCCTGCAACAGATAATGAAAACATATCTTAATGATAAAAGTATAACTGGCTGTAATACTTTAGTATTGAAAATTTTTATTTTTTTATGCTAGGATAAACTTGCATATAAAAGCAGGGCTTCAAGTATTAAAAGCACTTAAAATTTGATGCTTATTGTTTTGATTTTAATGCACTTTTAAATCATTTGAAGAATTTAATATAAAAATCTCGTGTGTTTAAATAATTGTTCAAAAATTTTCAAATTTTTTTTTGGATTTAATTAGAAAAAAATTATAAAAGAAGAGATTAAAAAAACATAGAATGCTATTTTAATTAATATATTTAGAAATTTATTATTGACAATTACTAAAATATTCTAATAACTATATTTTAATAATTTCATAGAAATATACAATATTCTACATAGAAACTTTATCGCGATAAAATTTCAATGCGTTAAAAATGTAGGTTTTGCAAAAATTAATTTTTTTGTAATTTGATGTAATGTGGATATTGTTAAACATAGTTGTCTGTTATACGTAATTTATGTGAAATTTATGGAATATCTAAAAAGAGAAAGAAGGAGAGAGAGATAAAAATAGGCAATCAACATCAATTGTATTAATCAATGAGTCATATGATGACTAAAAATAATAATTTATATCCTAATGTGCACAGTTAAATTTTTTAGCGATGATTGTTGAGTATACTCATTTATCAAATTAAAATAAGTTCGTTAAATACATATTACATACATTAAATACATATTAAATATATGTTTAAATTAATCTTAATATTGACAATTTCAAGAAAATACATTGTAATTAAAGTTTCTTGTTAAATTCGAAAATTTAATTTTTGTTTCAACATGCAATATGTGACAAATCTGGACAGTTTTTTCAAACATTACAAAAATTAAATTTCTTATTGCGTCAATTCGATGTAAGTGTTTAAGTATATATTTCGAAATGTGTTTATACATATGTGTGAAATAATACATACATAGTGTACATAATAGTTACATAATAATTTGAATAACGCAATAATATTATTGTACATACAGTTGTGCGTATTGCTTCGTCAACATTATATTCTGCTTAAATGCCCGCAAATTGATACGAATTAACGTGAATTCGCGTGAATGACGCAGGCCTTTATCGTTCATGCATAATCGACTTAATACATGAAAAAGAGAAATAAAAAGAGAAAAAAATACAATATCAAGGTCGCAAGATAACGCAAGTATATATAAGAAGTTCTATATAAAGAATTCTTCAAACGTATCTCTTTTAAAAATCAGTCGAAAATTGAATATTATTGAGTATTGAATATCATAGACCTCTGAATTGTTGAGATATCATGGTGTCTAAAGTATTTGTGACATTTGTAGTAATAATTAGCTTATTGGCTTTGCAACTTTCTGCTGCACGTAAGTGTTTAATATGTTTTTGCACGGAAAAAAAATTTACAGTACAAATTACAAAAAATATATTTTCTTTGACAACATTGATTGTAAATCTGGAATATAACAACATTAAAATATTTTAAATTATTTGTTTTATTGCTTATTATACATTTGTTTGTGTATCAAAATAATTGAATAATTACAATAGTTCTTTATAAAATATAATACGTATATATAATATTATTGAATAAAAATATCATGATTTCTCTTTTATATTAATATATTTCACGATTATATATATTAAAATATATTATATTTAATATATATTATACTTTTTACTAATTTTCTCCGTGTATTATCCATTAATTAATCAACTTTATATTTTATACTTAAAAGTTCTCATTATTTACATAGAGGAGGAACGAAAATGCGTACAAGGTAAATATTATTTTGATGGATGTAACAAGTGCTTCTGTGGTTACAATGGCATTGGGGCATGCACTAGAAGATTTTGTGATCCATCAGTGACGATTCCACCACCCGATGACTTTTGGCAAACAGATGTTGAACAAGACTAATTATTATATATTATAAAAAGTAAATGTATAAATAATAATTTACACAAGTACACCAGTATGTAATATTAATATATCTGCATATCTTTATACATGTTTATTTCTTTCGGAAATAATAGTTATAGAATAACTAGATTGCGTTATGCGATTTAAAAATATGATATAAAATGTGTGGAAAAATAGCTTCAACGTTTGAATCAAAAGTAAAATATTCAGTTAAACATTAACTTTGAATTCCACAAAATCTGATAATCTAAATAAAAAATCAATCTAAATTTCTCGATATACAATTGTATCATTATCAATTTATTTATCATTAAAATAATTTCGATCTCATAATCTCATTGTACGCCACGTCACGCTACGAAACTATCAATCCTCCACAAAAATCGAAACAGAAGTGAGGAATCGTTTTCATCCAGATGATTGTGGAAACGGTTCGGCAAATAATCGCCATCAAGTTCAATCTCTTCGTGCAACTGTCGAGACGAAAACGGACGGCGAATCAATCCGTTATGATCAGGTGGTAGATTTCGCGATCCCATTAAATCTAGATCGAATAATAATCTTGGATCGAGCGACGAAGACGATGACGCGTCGTCTCTTTAAATCTGATCTGGAGATGGAACATCGCGACCGTTTAATCGACATACATATTTGCGTCCATCCGCGAATTCTTTCGAGAGCGGCGCTTCTCCTCAGTTAATTGCGGATCGTAAGTCAGCGGGTCAAGATAAGAAGTGTTATTATCGCGAGGATCAAGACGGGGGAGCGGGAAGCGGCGCTTAACCCTTAATTTGGTATTTGCCCTTGTAAATGGCCGGTGTTAAGGCACAAGCGGAACAATTATCGCGTCGCGGGACGTGAGCCAAGTTGCTCCAACGCAAGACGAGGCAGAGTTAACACACACATTTATTATTACGCATTAGGAACGATTAATCTTTATAAATCGGACGTTTTAATTATTGAGCGATGCGCACGCAAAGAGGGAGATATAACCGTGAGATCGTTTTAATGAGAAATCACGCTTTCGATACATCCTCGCGGCGATTTCGCGTGGAAGTGGAGGTATTTCCTTCTGCGCAAATATTCCATCTTCCCCTTTCATCTCGCAATTTATCCCATTCTGTCTAAAATAATGGAATAACGCGCAACTCACAATCTCGGAAAATGGATTAGCATCGTTATAGTTAGCGTTACATTGTCCGTAACAACTAGTATCGCGAAAGAAAGAGAGAGAGAGAGAGAAAAAGAAAGGCAGTCACTACGGAATATTAACGCCACCTTTTTGACAGTACCGCGAGGCTAATTACCGAACGGTAATTAACGAGGTATACTCTACGTTCTTGAAAGCCGGTCGTAATTAAAGACGCGACGCAAAGGGAACGGCAGGTTGCCGCGCGGCTGGAAAGGATCGAGCTTTAGCGGTGCCGAGCAAAACGGCGGGGCGCGGATGATCGAAGGCACGCTCTCCGCGCCGTAGATCTAAATCGGCCGTTTTAACGTCCCGACGTCCATCGGGCGGAATATTATTGCGCAACGCGCTGGGGATATGCGAACGACTAATGACGTTACGAAGGAAATCGCGCGCGCGCGTATACGCGTTGCGTAATCGTGAGTAATTAGTCCATTTACAACCCGTACGAGGTGCACGTAATATCGACCGATGGGCGAGCGTCGCATTAGTTTTACCTCCGTTATTAATGTATTTCGATCGCGTTTTTTCGCGTTTTATTGCTCCATAGATTAACGTCGCGTTAATCCCTCCCTCCGTTTGTGTTTTACTTTCTTTCCCGTCAAGTTACTTAATCATAACTCGAGCGAGATTGGCCATTTACTTGCGACGTCGTTCTCATTTGCGACAGCGCGTGTGCATCCACGTATAAAGAGCGAAGTGTAATGAGTTAAATGTACGATTGAAGAAATAAATACCTTCGAAAGATTCAAATTGTTACTGATTACTTAATTAATTTTATTTTCTGAGCATTTTTTTTGCCTTATTTCTGAAAATTAATGAGGCAGAATTAAATTGCAGAAGCTTTGTCCTCTCAATTTAATTTTTTTCCAATTTAAGATTTTACTAAAAAAAAACTAGCCAAAATACATAACTGAAATTATAAAGAGATTCGCATAAAAATTGCTTATATTTTATTACTTATCAATCGCGACTGAATTCCGTTCGTGTCAAATTCTTATTCTGGTATAGATAGTATTATTTCTTCGTCTTACATTTGTGCATATTTTATAACTTTCTAATGAAGCCACACGACTATTAAACTCGCTGCAATATACCATTTTTTTGCGATGCAAATGCACGTGATTCATTTATCATTGCATGCGGAGACATTGTTTAATTATCGCGTAATAGCGTGTCTCGTCCTTTGTTACATTTCAAGATAGCGAGATAGATGGGACTATTTATCTTGGAACACAAGTCTACTAGAGTCACGCAGAGCGAAACTTCGAAGACAGTGTTGTATCGTATTGCGACATGATATACAAATAAGATGTTGCCTATGATGTATTAATTACAAGTTACAAGTCGGAGGAAATGATAAAGTAAATGTGTACGTACGTATAAATGTATACACACACACATAACATGGATTTATTTTCACACATAACATGGATTTATTTTCATACACAAATTGCATTAATCTTCTTCATAAAAAAGATGGAACTATCTATGTCATATTATGTACATTGTTGGCTACATTAGCCGTGGATATTATCGCTAAATCTGTAAAATTGGCAGCTTGTGCACGGTACATTTCGCAATTCTAACGTTTGACTATCAGTTAACGAAGCTGTACATTTCGACACATTTGCTGCGCGAAGCATATAATTATCACATCATAGCACGTGAGAAAGTTGCTCCGACGCATAGTTAAGCGACACGATGCGTGCCAGTAATGAGGAGCGAACTAACAGCTCTCTCGACTAGTTCGAAAAAAAAAAAACATAAAGCCTATGTCGTTCATATGCAGCGTTCACATGATGTCAATCTTAGACCGTAATAAAATTCAATGTTTTTGATGCATCTTGAAATAATATACTTCGTATAATCTAATTTTTAGGCACACAATTGAATTTGTTTCTCTCGTCAATGATATGAGATTACTTCTTTAATGCAATAAATAATAATTAAAAGTTATTAAAAAAATAAAAAAAGGGAAGATTTAAAAATTTAGTACGTGTATCTAAAAATTCATAATTTATGACATTTATTTTATATTCAATTTCTTATTTGAAGTTTGCTTATAGACTTTTATTTTGCATATGTTCCAAACTCAATTCAATTACTAAATCAACTCTTCTAAGTTTACTTACTGCAAACGAATAAGCGGAACCAAAGTATTATTACGAGTGCTATCGAACGCAAAAGTGAGCTAAGATTGTGGGAAGTTATTTGTAGAAAAGACAGAAACGATGATTTGCAACGACCAACGAAGAACAATGCGGAGAAGCGTGCTCGTCAGGAAATCGTTAACCCAGCCGAGAAGGTAATCGCAGCCTTCGGCATTAGTGCATAAGTGCATTGTTAATAACAGGGTACCTGAAGCACTACCACTCGTAGAGAAATCTACAGAGCGAACTGCTTGTGATCATCGGCGTATCCTTCGATACACGGAACCGATCGGCGGACGTTGTCCAGCTTACGCCAAGGCTAATTCGCCTTAATTAATACACGAGATCTCTCAGCAAACCTCCTGTCTATCAAGGGTCACGCCAATCGGCTGACACCGAGCTTATATTCTGATAGTTATGCACAGTGATTCTCAGCTTCCGTTCCTTATCTTCTTTGAACCATCAAATTACTTGCTACAGAGTACTGCGAATAATTCGCCTTTAATATAACAATAATTATAGACATAGATAGTTTATAAATGGAACAAAATTTAAAAAATTAAAACAGTAATAATTATATATGTCGAAATATATATATATATATATATATATATATATATATATATAGCATTTCGATAAATGATTGATTAATGCTGTAAAAAGAAAACGAATAAATGATTTTATTATAATTTATTATTTGTTTAGAGAGAGATTAAGATTTGAAAAAAATAACTGAATACATTATTATGTTTCTATGGAATATAAGTGTGTTGCTCAACTCGCATGAACTATAATCAATTGTAAATATATTTAAATTTATATCGCTCTGATTTATAATTATCTTCTTAAGGATTCTCTCGCGCGACTCATTCAATCAAAATTCTGACTCTGAAGTTGAAAATAATGATGCTTTTAAAAGAAACGGTTAGCATTCCTTAACTTATATGTAGAATCATACTCAGTTGAGGGAAATGCGATAATTAGAGATATTCCGTAGATATACATGTTGCTATGCGATTTCTCACAGGTAGATAAGAAATTTTATGTATACGTTAATGGGCGTAGGAAACATCTCTCACCATATAATCGTGCAAGGGCGATTTACCGTGCACTCATAATGAGCTATGATTCTCTACCTGTAATGCAACTCTCGTTACACGCAACAACGTGTGTCAGGTACACTGTTATTCGTCGATATTAAAAGTAATATTAGTCTGTTATTGTGTTCCGTTACATCGTCAATGAGGCGCGTAATATGAACAACGTCCAACATGCATAAACAATTAATATTGTTGATTGCATTTCATCTTTCGACCCGTTATTCCGCAGCTTTATTGAAAAGTACTAAACGTCATAATTTAAACTTACGACTTTTAACTGAACTTGCAAATATCGCGTGCCTGATTTTTAATGAAGTAAACATAATAGTCTATGACGCAAATATACATGCAATGGACAGAGCAGTGCATATTTTATGGCAGATAGTAATATTTATGAATCTTATAGCGAATAATTATCAAAATTAAATATTATATTTTGATAGAAAATAAAAATAAAAATTATTGTAATGAGAAATAATTTATAAAATATTTTAAAACTAATGGAATATGATATTGAAACTATAAATTGTTGAGAACTAACAAGCCTGTTATTTCTCCACAATTTTACGATCGCTCCCATCGGCTTCGCAACGACAGTCATGATCGCGCGAGCGAGTTACAGCACAGAATGGTAGAAATGACGGTAATCAATGAATTGGTATTTCCCACATTCAGACGGTATCCACCTCAGTAAGGGTATCTCGATGGCCGTATAGTGTTAGAATGACGGATAGACGGCGGTTTGCCACTAGAAACCGGCGTTATACCGATCGTTGAAACAATTAGTCGAAGCCAAGTACACAATCGCGAGTTGTACGTCAAGTAATGGTCTTTCGTTTGCCGATCATTGCAAACTGGGAATTTCGTAAAACGTCCATCATAATGGCATAATGCGCGAAGCATGTTCCGATCTTTGCAAACTTCGAGCAAGCTAGTTTCTCTCTTTGAGATCTCGGAGTGATCGGAGAAAATGCTAATCAAGATGACACGCATATCTTTCGTATATGCAAATAATTAAAATCAACATTCCAATATGTATACTCAGCGCTAAATGTGATTGATTTGTCAAAATAAATTTAAAAAATGAAAAATAATAGAATTTTAAAAGTATCATAATTATATCGAGTTATTAAAAATGTTTAATAATGCAGAGATAAATTCTAATTAATTTAAAATATAACATTACAAAATTGATGTGTTGTCGCGTATGTTATTAATAAAAAGATAACAATTTTATTTATCTCATTAAAAAAGAAAACTTTTCAGATATAAATTATGACATATAAACTCCGATAATGATATTATGGAAAAAGGCTTCAGGTTTCTCCATATCGAGCTATTTCTGGGTTGAGCACCGCGATCGTGCTGCGTCTCGGTTGAACCATGGACCAGACAAAAGATCCTGGTTCTCACGACCACGCCCTCTCCCCGCTGCCGCTGCCTTCTCCAGACGGCGGCGGCGATGCCTTCACGAAGGTACCTATCCACCGGAAATTCCTGAAGCAACCACCGCGCCGCGTCGTGTATGCACACGGAATGGAACGGCGCGATCTCTTCCAAGTTCTCGTGACGCGGTAATAAATGGCCGGAGCTTGGATCTATACGCGAGAGCGCCCGTACGAAAGCGGATAAAAGTGCGAGTTTTCTCTCCTGCTGGACAGAAGGCATCTCCAAGGCGACGCTACGGAACGGTATCGAATTTCCGCGAGGCTCTACGGTCGTGAATCCTAGCGTGCGAAAGTCGACGACCCTTGACCGCGACGGGCCGCGGATCACGCGCGCGAAAAATCTTGGCGGAGAATAACACGGCTGATGTGTGCCTCTTATCTGTTATCCTGCAAAAGAGAAAGAGAGAGAGAGAGAGAGAAGAGAAGAGTCGCGTGTTCGAGTCTGATGTAAATTCGTAAAGCGTGCGAGGAAACATGTGATTCTCATTAATTAGCCGTTCCATAAAAGTTAAAGATCCTCCCCGTAAATAAAATCGCAAAAGAGAGAAAAATCAATCATTTCTTCAAAATTCTTTCATCGAATCCACCATTCTTAAATCTCACAGAGAGAGCAACTAGTGATTATATGTCGCATTCAAACACCTCGTTCGAGAGAAGCGCGGAAATCGGTCTCGTAGAAATTAAAGGAAATGCCCGATGACTAATGGTTTACCGTCGAGCACTTGACCCGATCGGGCGACAAGTCGTTAACTACCGGTCATACGCTCGGGTTAAACATTATTATTATTATTATCGGAGGATCTCACGGCGATATTTGGTAGTGAGGTTACAAGCGTCGCGTCGATTTAACGTGGGAAGACGAAGATAATGACTCCAATCTACACGTAACCGAAGCTTCCTCCTCTCGTACGAGAAGAAGAAGCGATTTCCACGCTCGAATCACGCTATTTCGCTGAACGAGATCCTATCTTGTCTGTATAATCGCGATGTGACAATAAGAGTTTGCCCTCATAATTAAATTCTTTTCTGTCAGCTTACCTATCAGATATTACGCGTTCGCTGATTTCACATATTCTGCTATCATTGAAACAATAGCGTCAGCAACGAAACCACATATGCGAAGCGAGAGAAGGGTCGATGGTAAAGTGACGCGATTATTCCAATGATTGCTGACGCACGTGCGTGACTCACGATCATGCATAACGATCATCGAGATTGTAACAAGTTGGTTTCTTTCAATCGATCGATGTATTTGATCTTGATTGCTTTTCCCGATTCAGAGTTTCAATAAATTCCATAGTTTCTAACCGTGCATAGGAATCGAGAGATTTATGATACAATGTTTGTGTAATTTCTATGCATATAATTTAACTTTTTTTTTCTCTTTTTTTCCCTCTAGTGCGTATTTAACACAATATCTCTTTTGCTTGAAGATATATTTTTAAATTTTGCACATTATATGTACGAACATTTCTTGCGATATATGTCGATTGATTCGAAAAATATCGAAATTATTTGCTCAAAGATAAACTTACCAGTGTGGGTCCTCTTGTGCGCCTTGAGATGCGAACTCTTCGTGTAAACCTTGTCGCAGCCGGCGACATCGCATCTGTGAACCTTACGTCTCTTGAGCGCATCGCCGCAATCACCATCGACACCTAAATTGCCGCCATTTCCGCCAACGCCGGCATTTCCTCTACCACCTAATCCGATACCCCCCGCAAGCGGACGTTTCTGGAATGCGCTGAAATTAGATAATTAAATCCGCAAAGAGTTAAACATAATATCTAAACAAAAATCTGTCGTTAAAAATTATTCTAATTATATGCTTTTCTCATAACTTTTTTACAAAAAAAAATAAACAGATTTTTCCTATAAATTTTTTAAAATCGATGTATAAAATAAAACATCAAAAGTAATCAGAAATTTAAAAAATAAAAAAGAAGCAAGGGTTAAAGAAGAGATGTAAGTTAGATTACATAATTATAAATAAGTTAAGCTTTTTCGAAACGTAATTTAATTACAAAAGTTTACTTTGAATCAACTTTATTTTTGAAATTTTGTCATATCTTGATAAGTATACGATCAGCTTATGTTAAATTTATTTTTCATAGGAGAGGATTTGCGTAAACTAATTAACTTTTGACTATATGAAAAGCAATTAACATTTTCGAAACGAGAGACGACTGAGAAAAGATAAGAAATATTATTCCACGTTAAAATATAAATTAAAAAGTGGCATAATATGCGACACATGGCCAATTATAAAAGAATTAAATGTAAGATCGCGCGTTTTCTCTCGTCTGAAATTGCCTTCTAGTGCTCAAAGCGATGCACATATATCTGATTGTGAGATGATATTGATTACGACGAATGATAAGAAATTCGTCATTCTTTACCATTTTTATCAATATCAATTTCAATATGGAGGAGATATCTTCAATCGATCAATTTTGCGCATGGATCGCATGTTCACCGATCAACTGTCATTCTTACTTTTTTCTAGATATACAGCCAAATAATACTAAGATATAATCCCGTTTTTAATATTTATAAAGTTACTATTTTCAATGTAATTTAATTTGATTCCTATTTCCTATAATTTGAAAATACTTTCTTTTTAGGGAATCATTTTTTTCTGTGTATCTCCATAAAATCAACTTTAATAAAAAATTATACAAGTGATTTCAGAAAAGATACCGGAAAATTAAGGATTCATTAGATGATTCAAGAAAAAAAATCATTAAAAGGAAACGTTAAAGAGAGAAATTAAACTACTAATTTTTACATTTTATAATTCTATAATAAAATATAGGGAATTTATCACATTTCCTCTAACAGAAATTTAATAAAAATTTAAATCAGCACAAGTTGAAATTCCCCTTATTTACAAAAATAAGTAGAAATTATTTTCACAAACAAAATATTGTTTGCTCATTTATAGATGAATATATAAGTTCCTAACAACGCATTATTTACGATGTAAAGCTTTCTTTCCGAATTAAAAATGCCTTTTTCGGTAACACGAAAAACCGAACAATTCTTCGAAAGTTGTCAATCGGTCGATTAATATTGGACCGATTCGATTCGATCCATGAAGAGAAGAAAGGCATATCGGACTGGTTCGATCAATCTCAACTTGACACACTGAATTCTGGTAAGACTTGTTTTTCCGCCCAATACTCGTACGTGCTAACGATATAGATCAGCTTATGTTTCTTAAGATGCGTCATAAGTATTGATCAATTTGACACAGTATAAATATTACTTGCAGATTGTTTGTGGATAAATAAGGCAAATGATAAAAACAATTCGAAATAATTACGCGATATACTTCACAAATCTGAAACTATTGTATGCTTGATGAATTCGATTTTCAATTTATTTTTCAATTATCTCAAAATGCCAATTAAAAATGAATGTTTTCTATAATTTCATATAATTTTGTTATATAATTCGTAGTTATTCTTTTGACAGCAACATTTATGTAAAT